ATGAGAACCAGACTCCTCCCATGATGCTCTTCTGACAAGGGATGAGGTAATGCATGAACCATCAGCCTGCAATCCAGCAGCAGCATCAGCACCAGTAGGGAACATCAGCTGTGCAGACTGCTACACACAGGCAGCAGCTGACAGCCACGAGACCGGGACGGGATTCGGCTTTCTCTGTATATTTGGATGGAGGATCTGCTTTTACCATGACTGAACGGTGCAGTTTGTGGAGTGCCCTATCAGCAGCCGCATGCTGCTTCTACCGGGGCTCTTTCATGCAGGTGCAGGTAAGAAGCCTCATGCAGGTGCAGACAGTTGTGCTTCATATCCGCTATAAAAACCTTAGGAGCTCCTTTGATAAGGCAATCTGCAGAAGCCCTTATCAGCCAATCAAAACTATTTTGTGCATGGTAGAGTAAACCGGACGCCGGTTGCTATGAGTTACGGCACTTTGCATGGCCGTGGCTTTTCATCGGCATTATAAAAGTCGGTTATGGGCGACTTTATCCAAACAAGCAACATTTTTAAAGGTGGTGTTTATGTGTGTTTTGATATGGCCGGCTGGCTGCTCTTTTTATTGACAGATCGGTACCGGTTGCATCCCTTGAAAGTGCTTGTGAAAAGCCGTATTCTTTTTTTTTTTTTTCGCCATGTGCAAAGTGCGGTAAGCCTTAACGACCAATCCGATTGAATCTTTGATTGATCGGTCTTGCTGCTCTGGATTGACAGAGGTGATATCCGGTTGGTCGCAAGGGCTCACCGCGCTTTGTACGGGGAGAGATTTGGAAAAAGGCTGATGATGACATCACCCAGGGAGATACGTTGGACTTAAGAGGTGCGGATTCATGCAATAGTATTACCCATGGTATATGTAGAGAACTTTTTGGGGTTTACGGTAGACCGCCGGATCACCATGATGTCATTTTGTATCCCTGGCAAGCTTGGGAAGCATGAAAAGAGTTAAACACGTGTGTTGCGTTTCCTTATCTGATGGGATTTGGGTTCTTTTAGCCTAACTGGGGGGTGTTAATAGTGAAACAGTTGCAATGGACATTCGCTGGTTGGGTTATATAGACATTTCTATCAAGAGCAGTGGGCGTGCTCCCCCCATTCCCCCCAACCATTTCCTTTCCTTGCGGACAGCCGTTAAATTTTACCAGCTTTGCAAATCCAGCGCCGCAGGAAAAATTTGCTTTTTTCATGGACTGTAAGCTCTGCAGGTGATGGTGTTAAGCTCTAAAGCTGCTGCACTATATACCAGAGGGGGAGTTGTGGGGTGGAACTTGTGCAATTTCTGAAGGAATTCGAGATGGATGTCTAAGAGTAAAGCTGTAATCCTGGCACAGCAAGGGTTACAGAGGACGAGGGATAGAGCAATCTATGAATGACTGGGTGTAGCAGTGGTGACGGCACCATCCCTGCACCTCCACCAACAGCTTATTACCAGATTCTAGTAGCAATGACATCATTTCCAGCCAATGAGAAAGCAGACAGCATATGCAGCACCCACAGGAGGGGGGTGGAAGAAACCCAGACCCCCCAAATTAAAATGGCTAGGTACAATATACTGAAGGTATAATAAGCCGTATTGTGCAACGATGGAAGACTAAGAAATTAACAAATAGGTAAACTGTGCTGCATCAGTGGAGGAGATTAAAAAAACTGGGATAGCGCTTCATTAGTGTCATCTGCTTCCATCATATATCATGTTCTGGTGTTAATTAGCCCTTTTATTGCAAAGAAAGGAGAAAATGATCAAGAAATGGTAATGAAAATCATATATAGGATTGAGTTGGAGGCACTGGTGTTGCCCCTACTGGACAGTAATTTTTTTAACCTGCCATTCTTCTACTGCACATGAGATGATGACATGAAGCAGGTAACTGGCCGGCATGGGCTATACCGCTATTTTCCATTTGCTGCAGTTTGTATAAATGAGACCCGGCATGTGTGTGTGTGTGCGCAGCTGTGCGTCCTCAGTCACAGTGACAGCCATCCTCCGGGGAGGAATCAGACACCACGTACCCCCAGGACACAGGCGGAGGTGCAAAATGAAATGGTACAGAGAAATATCAGGCGCTTACAAAGAGCATAACCCGGAGGGGATCAGCATTATTCAGCATCCATTCGGATATTTTCAGAGGAATTTTAGTTTTAGAGGATTGTGTGCTCGTTTAGGATCACTGGCTGCTAAGAAACTGCAAGTCCCAGCATGCCCTGCGCCATGTGCCACAAAAGCCGGGCACAGCAAATGATGTGTAAAGTGCAGTAAAAACCAATGAAATTTTAGTCACATTAGTGGTTCTAATTGGTCGCTGTGAATTGTTGTATATGAACCTGATTATTGGGCTCATTTACAGAAATTGGAACAATGTAGCGCAGCCAGTTATGTGAAAGGAAACAGGCAATCTGGTTGGGCAACTGCTTCACCTTAGCTCCAATTGTTGTAAAAACAATCCACTATGTACAATGGCCTGGACATGTTGGACCACGTTGGCCTTGACATGTTCGACCATGTTGGCCATCAAATGTTAGACCATGCTGGCCTTCAAATGTTGGACCATGCTGGCCTTCAAATGTTGGCCATCAAATGTTGGACCATGTTGGCCTTCAAATGTTGGACCATGTTGGCCTTCACATGTTGTCCAAAATGTTGGAGAAACATGTCCCTCTTGTTTGGACATACACTCACATAAGTGCCTCTACTACCTTCTATTTATCCACTATGTATAATGTTGTAGAAGAGCATCTCATGTTAAGATGGCCGCACACAGATGAGTGACCTCGTCACCAGGTGTGCGGATATAACCAACAACCAGTTATTGATTTGACCCCATGGACTATTAGAAAATGGAAGAAATACTCTGAAAACAAAATTCTACTGGTGTATGGCCAGCTTAAAGGAGAACTATGGGGTCAGTGTTTTTCCCCATAGTTCTCCTTAGGGTAACGGGAGGACACAAACTAGCGTCCTCCCGTTACCCTAAGCTCAGTATACCGCGAGCTACAGCTCGCTGTATACTGAGACGCCGCACCTGGAGCGGATCCCGACGTAGATGACGGGATCCGCCCAGCTGCGTGAGTGACAGCTGGCTCTGCCTATCTAGAGGCAGAGCCAGCTGTACCCGCCCCCCAGTCAGCGCTGGCAGATCGGAGCGGGGAGAGGGGAATCCAGCCCCTCCCCCTGTCACGGCAGAGAGCCGTGACAGGATTGAGAGGTGAGGGAACCCGGTATGTGTTCCCTCACCTCCCGATCTACTGAGCCGACCTGTGACAGTCTCATTGTCACAGGTCGGCTTAGAACTATGAGGTGAGTGGAAATCACTCATCTCATAGTTCTCCTTTAAGACATTCAACGGTGAAATCCCACCGCCCACCAAATAGCTCCACACTTAAGCGAGCTTTATGTAGTTTAATGAACAATTTTATCAATAAATTATAGAGAGATGTAAGGTTTTACTTATCCATCTTAGTTAAAGGACCCTTGCTCCTTGAGGGTCCACCTACCTATACAATCCATTGAAAAGGTATCGAGACAGGAAGTCCCTCTTCATAATAAGGTGTTGGGACATTTTATTGATCTGGCAGCTCAAAATTTGACTGTGTGTGGCCAGTTTTAGCCACTGATAAAGCACGGGTGTTTAAAGTGGTTCTACTGGAGGAAAGTACCCAGATGTATGCGGATAAGTTACACTGAAAGATGCAGAAGAGACCCATTTTAGTCACTGTAGTAGCTGCCAATTTGCCAGATGGAACACACATCTTTTCCCCTTTTAACTTCCCGTGATGGAAATCAAAGATTCTGACTAATTGTCCCCATTATTGCTTTCTCTCCAGTTCATTAGTAACCCAATTATCACAAATGGTGCTCAGATCACTTGAGATAATCTCATAACTAAGGATATGAAAACTGCAAGCTTTCCAGACAAGATAAGGGCAGCGAGGGTATGCAAAGTGAAGCAACCAATCAGAAATTATTTCTGATCTGACTGCAGGAAACTGAGGTCCCATAGACATAGTAAAGCAATAAGATGTGTGGCCGCCTCTGTCTTCATGAGGGCAGTGAAGGTGTGCAAAGTGTATCGACTAGGGATGCACAGATACCGGTATTTTGGTACCGAGTACCAATAATTTTTTTCCGGTACTCACCGATACCAATTACCGAACACCGGAAGTCCCATTCAGGAAGCCAGGTGGCGTGTAATGACTCACCACCCGGCTTCCCAATTAACAAGAAAGTCTGTCCCCTTTTACCTCAGCATGTCCAGCCTGTCACCACCGGGGGCCTCTCCAGCCAGGAGCGGCCTTCCTACATTACCCAGTCAGGAAACCGCTCAGCGTATAATGACGCACTGCCCGGCTTCCTGATACAGGAAGTATCGGGCTAGGCATCGGAGTATTTGGGCGAGTACGAGTACTCGCCCAAATACTCAGTATCGGCATCCCTGGTATCGACCCATAACAGCCAATCAGAAATGATTTCTCAGGTCTGATTGACATAATAAGGCACTTAGTTGTGTAAGCATGACCTGACCGTACCTAGGCGTGCACGTCTTTACATGTGCCTGTAAACATGAGCGTTTGGCTTGGCTTACGGAGAGCAGCAAGGGAGGCAAGCATTAGACACCTCTGGTACTGGCTTACCTTAGAAGAGACAATAGTGGTCAGACAAGATCTTTCAACTTGTCTACTTAAAGTGTATCTAACCCCCAAAAAACAAACGTTCATCAATGCAGCTTACCAGTCCTTATATATGTTGACTGCCTTATTTATTCCTGTAATAATACACTTCCTGTGCTAAGGTGACAACACTCATTCACTTCACTATATCTATGGAGGGAGCCATGGTAGTCCATCAGAGAGCTCCTCCTGTCCTCTACATAACATAGATGGGCAAGGGTCTGTAGTCATCACAGCTAACTATGAACAATATAACTGATAACAATGCAGCATGCAAAGGGACCAAATAAGAGACGTTCATTGTTACGGGTTTACATACACTTAAACTTCGACCTTGAAGAAGCCTCAGTCAATGAGTACCTTATAAACATGAGATCATTGCTTGATCAACCAAAAATCAAAAGATTTGACAACGTTCATCTATGTGTTTGGGTTCCTTTATGTAGATGATGTTCTTGTCAGACGCAGCAGTTTCCATTCATACACACATGCTTTCAAATGGCAAATGCAGTGTGCTTGGCAGGAAAGTCCTGCGTTGGACCTGCCTTGTCTGTGGTTGAAATGCACCTCAATAGGACAAGCTGCGTCCAAAGCAAAGCAGGTGAAA